TTGCGATTTTAATTTATTCTAATTATGGGTTATATTAAAGACTAGGCAATGAAATATTGTCACAATTGTGAATTATGGTGCCCATCGTACATAAACTACGTTGATCTATATTCATAACTGGCCTTAATATTCTACATTAGTTGCTAAAATGTAATTTATCAACTTTTAGTTTATTATTATTTATAGTAAGACTATGCGATAAAATATTGTCATAAGTGTGAATAATGGTGTGCATCATACATAACTGGGTTTATCTGTATTCATATCGGATCTCAATGTTCTCAATAAGGCATTGATGGTTGATCGTTGACATTACTTTGAATAGGATATAAAGCCTAAATAAATGTTAAATTTTTACTATACACAACGATCTGAATATTTCGGTTAAGCAGCATGCCATCATCCTAAGCATAAAGTCTGATAATCTATTAAAGTTCAAAGACAAGCTTACTACAACAGAATGGCTAACAGTTTGGCAAAAATGCTTCAAATCTACATTATGTGTTACAATATGTACTGAATTGAACTCTAATTGATAAACGAAAATCATGATTAATATTTCTCATTTCGATTACTTTACGCAATAGCTGCTGAATTGAATCAACCTCTTCAATGTTAGTAACTATTAATTTGTTAGAAATATCAAATTTTTCCATATTACTAACGTATCCTTGCACTGCAGTTCTAATTACACGGTATTATGCTTATAAATACGAGGTATTTGCTAGTAATAGAATAGCTGGGTGTTTTTCAAATAACTATAGCTAACGAAAACGTTTATGATTAGCAAATAAAACTAATAACGAACCATGAGGACTGAAAACAAAGCTACCTTTGATACGATCACTCCATAAATATATTTAAACAGTCTGTCGCCATATCATTCATCAATTTATAGTATTGAACCATTTCATTGCATATTATCACGGCATATCAAATGGCCGATGGAGATAATTTATCAAAGAACCCTTTGTTTTCAATCTTCTTGATAGGTAATTGCAAAATCAAATACCAACTCTTTACTTTTTTCAATTATTATTAATACGTAAATGAATATTGAAGGTATCAAAATGTAATATCTTACTCTAATTAAATATAACGTTGACATAAAAGGAATTAACCAAGTCCATCTCGGCTATTATAAGGCATACATCCTGAAATAATCCCATTTAGGCGCTTCCTAATTCATCTTGCTCTCACTAGCAAAGATAGGTAAATAATACTGTAATGAAAGAGGGCTTTGTTTTGTCCTAAATCATAACGGCCATGGTGATCGAAGAGTTTACAAAATGAAGCCATGATATGCAAAACTTAAATTAGTTCTCATGGACTATCGTGTCTGGCTTGATAATTTCATGCTACATTTATCCATTCTTGATAAAATGACCTTACTAATGAACTATTGATTATATTAAAGAGAGGATACTGTTTTCCTCAATTCATCCTGTTTGTAGCGTGTCTACTTTTTTATCTTTATTCTCTATTCCATATGCTTATATCATATTATAAATTTGAAAAGGTAGATCACGGTAAGTAACTGAATGACGAAGGTTTTGACACATTTAATAGTAAGAAAATCAACGAATTAGTAAAGCATAGTCTAATCTAGCTCGTTCATTAAATAGGCAGAGTAAAATGATTTCTGACGGCATTGCTGACACTCTTATATGGAGCGAGTTTTATAATGTTGGCTAGTAGCATCTTGAAGAAATATACCGATAAAATGGCGAAATTTCCTACACTCCTATCTGCACATGTCAGTCGATGGTTTGGTGTAAGTTAGATGATATAGGCTGAAAAATTTCAAAGTGGATCAAGGTACGCGTATGATATGAATAATGCTTTTTCCTTCTCGGTTAAGAAATAATCGAGTCAAAATACAGCCTATTTTTTAGTTAACTATGCACATACGCGCGGATGTCATTGTGAATAAGAGTGTCTGGCTAGTATTACTGATTTTATCCATTATAACTAATTTAAAAATGGATAGGGTAAAACTCGGTTGAACATGATTACGTATCATATGCTAGTATTAATCGATTTTTTTACACTTATAGCATTTTGATTTTGCACTCAACATCATGGCTACAGAAGTAGTAGAAAAATATGAAATTGACCAGTAAAGCTGGTACTTATATCGATACATATCTGTTAACTTTCTAATATTTCCCCTATCGTAGCCTTATTCCAATATATCTTGTCGTCACGAACAAGTTGTTGCCAAGCGCATTCTTCATAACATCAAATAATTCACTTTAATAGATATCGTGAATAAGATCACTCCGTTATTGTTTGATAATGATGAAAAGAATGCAAGCTGCCAAAGCCATCCATTAATTAATTATTGATTTAGACAGTATATTTGACTAAGATAGCTTGAAATGGTGCAATATTATCCATATTTTCTTGAATTGTTAGTTAATTTACCAGTAAAGTAGACGTGCTGGTAATACGAGGGGAAAAGTTATTCTGGATTCTAAGCTATAGTGATACTAATATTTCCTGAATCTTTTCGAACTCGACTTTGAATACTATATCTGTAAAGCGGCTATCTTTGAATGATAGCTCTAGCAGCGTCGATATTTTCTACGTCTTTTATAACCCGTCTGGGATGCTACATCTGAAAACTGGCTATCGTTAAATGACCACTATAGCAGCAACGGTATTTTCTACATCATTTACAACTCGATGTGATATGTTCTACTAACGAATAAATCAAACTTTATAGTTTATCTATTACTGTTCAAATATACTTTCCTAACTTCGGCTTTGCTCGAAAAAACCATTCTAGTCAATCTTACTATTTCATGACGCATTAGTGAGTCCTACTAAGTAAAACCATTATAGTTTAATTTGCTGTTTCAAGGCGCATTACTGAGCTCCACTTATGTGACATTAACGCATGTATCGGGCAAGGCATTTACTCGCTATTTACTTCTACTAAAGTTTTGCTGTTATAAATTATCTTAAAAAATAATATGACAGGATTTTCCATTTCCTTATTAACTTCACATCATTACCAAATGGATATATAGAAGAGCTATTCTTGCTTTTTTTCTAAGGCTTTACTGTTATAAAATACCTCAAAATAATAATATAATAAGATCTTTCATTTCTTGTTAATGTCGCATTACAGATATACGGAGGAAGGCCTATACTGGTCTTTTATTTCTAAAACTTTACTGCTATAAAATACGATCTGAAAAGTAATTTGACAGAGTCTTCCATTTCTAGCTAACTTCGTATTATTTGTAGGTGAAGGAAGGCCTATATTCGTTGTTTTACTTTTAGAGCTTTACTGTAATAAAATATGGCAAAAAAACGTGATAAGATCTTTCATTTCTTGTCAACTTTACATTATTTATAGATGAATGCTTAAGGCTTCTACTCGCTTTTCACGTCTAAAGCTTAGGATCATAAAATATCACGAAATAATAGGAGAAAATCTTCCATTTCTTCTTAACTTTACATTATTTACCGAATAGATATATGGAGAGAGACCTATACCTGTTTTGTACTGCTAAAGCTCAACCCAACCCTAGCATAAATGAAAACTATGACATTCAACTTCTAAACGAAAAAATTTCTAACAAAGTCATATAAACCTTATTTGACTTCATCCTTTTAACCAGTTTCCTATTCTGTAATATTTAGCATTGTAATGATTTTTTAAAAAGGATTTACTTACTAGACTATAAAATAATTTCTCTCAAACAAATTTTTAGGTGACTAATAAGAATGATGGTAGTCAACATAAAGATGATAAGGTTTCTTAGAAAGCCAAATTACTCTTACTTGCATCCATCTTTAACTAGCTTTATATTTAGCGAAATTTAGTATAATTAAAATTAGAATTTTTAAAGAATGAACAACAATCTTATTTCTCAAAGAATTTTTTGGGCCACTAATGGCAATTAAGGCAATCAACTTCTACATGGTAGGATTTCTTGGAATGCCATCAAGCTCTTAATTCATCCTTTTAACCGATTTCTTATTCTGTAATCAATATTATGATGATTTTTTTTAATTTGTTAATTAGACTATAAAATAGTTTCTCTCCGGGATTTTTTTAGGCCATTAATAAGAACAAAGACAGTCAACGTATAGCTGGCAAAGTTTCTTAGAAAAGCCATAAAACTTTTATTTGACTCCGTCTTAACTAATTTCTTATTTAGTATTATCAAGACTAGATTTTTAAGAACAAATTACAAAATAATTTATCGCATAAAATTTTATGGCGTCTGCTAGGAAATTCATCTAAAGAATTTAGTCACTTTGAATGAGCCAACCTGAATGAGACAGGTTATTATTAGAGAGCCATCCAAGGTATCTGACAAGATTTCTTCGAAAAATGAATCTATTTGTACTGGATAGATTTAATGAGATTTTTATTCCTTATTACAAGACAACATGTCAATGATTTCTTCTTCATCACTCTACTACGTCAAAACCTCCGGCAAAGAATCGATCAGTGCTATTACAAGTATGTCAAGATTCTGTCAAGAAAGAGTTGATGTCTGTCTACAGTTTGGTAAATGAATTAACGCGAATAAAACATGGAAGTGAATGTGGCCAAAAGGGGATTTGGCTATGAATTAGTTCGATTAGATCTGTATATCGGAATAAACCGCCATGATAGCGATTAAGTCCTGTACTAAGCCAATTAAACATATTGATCACTGCTGCATTGGGTAAGTTGAACTTACCGCTAAGAGCCGAGCTTGATATTTTCCTTTTCTGTCCCAGAATAATTCAGCCAGTAAAACTAGTAGGGAAACCACCACGCCAATTATAAGGAGATAAAATGTTCCCGATGCATCAAGCCATGTCAGACGGCCATTTTCACTATTGTCACTGCCAGCCGTAGCTAAGGAATCGGCTGGCTTACATTTGATCCCATTTCGCCACCAAAAATCATAGCGTTCTTGTATAAAGCCCTCTTCAGCTAATTTTAATACCTGAGATGAAATAGCTTGATACCAAATAGAGCCAGATTGCAATGCAATTCCGTAGCCTTTAGAATCGAAAGTTTCACGCAAATAGAAGAGATTGCAATCCTTATGATTGACAATATATTCTAAATATGGCGTATCCCAAATAAAACCATACGGGTAAGTGCTATTTTGCACTTTTTCCACACCTTCGATCGATGTCTCAACTAAAGCATTACTTAGATTTGCTTTCATTTTAAGCCACATATCTTCGTAGGTATGCAATTCTGCATATTTAAAATATTCATGCAATTGACTATCACGGACAGTGCCGTAAGTAATGGAAGAATGAGCTAATTCTTTTAAAGTTTGAATTTCAGTCGTAATCTGACTATGTGTCATAAATGCAGCCAAGTTGGCAGTATAACTAGAGATAATAACCAGCACAAATAGCCACCAAAAGAAACCAATAGTGCGGCATGACATAGAACGAGGTGTATTTTCAGTACCTTGTTGCATAAAAGCACCTACAACAAACCACAAACTATTGGAAAAATTCGATTCATCTCCAGTACTACTTGGAGGTGGATCAAAATACCAATCGTAAGGACTAAATCGGCCAATGAGCCATAAGTAAAGAGCAACGATAAAGGCTGAGATGATGATCGAGATCCAAACATTCATCGAGAAAGGTCTAGTAAAAGCAAATACACGATTGACTTCGTCAATGTTTTTTTTCTTCAATAACGCTGTGGCGTCCATATTTAAATAAGGTTTTGTAAATTCCACCACTTCTTCACGTTCAGCTGTAATAGTTAAATCAGCGAAGGCCAAATCTGCTTTCTAGGGTTGAGTTAGTACGAATAAAGTGATATAAGATTTTTAAGTATTCAATCAATAGAAAATAATAATTTATATTCAATGTAGAAATTCATTACAGCAGGGCCTTTATTAAATTAATTATCCTTCCATATCATATACCTTTTCTACTAATTCACCGATCAGGCCATTCCAGGTACCATTCTTCTTAGCACCGTATATCATGTCACTCTCTACATGGATAACATATTTAAAATCTAAACGACGGGCAATTTCCTTCAGTAAATCGATACAAAATCCATGATATAAATTATCTTCATTTGTGGCCTTTGGATTTTTCATGACAAATGGTTTAGACTAAAATATTAATTGTAAATAGTATTAATACAAAGAAATGCTAGTGCCAGAGACATTCTTGATCATCGATATCGTTGAGCAACGACTTACCAACAATGTGGTAACGATGAGAGTTTTTTGTAGTGCCTCGCTTTTCCATTGCATTTGGTAATCGCTTGAATTTATTGTAGCCAACTGCAAGAATGAAATGGTAAATTTGCTTATAAACTTTCTAAATTATATATAACACCGGCATGGAGAACATAAATCAATTACTTTCCATCTTTCTATAAATAGAGTCTAGGCAAGTTAAAGTGATTATGGCAATCATTAAATACTCACTAAATAGGTAATAACTCAAATCATCGATGACTAGAGATTTACTTTAAAATAATATTCCTGCCATCAAAATCTTGGTGCTGACTTACAATCGTCACTTTACCATCATTTAATGATTCTGTTCCAAACAAAAATTGAAAACGTTGCCGTTTATTTTCTTTATCAAAGTAGATAGGGCCTGTCATTCCCGTAATTCTTTGCTATCATAAGAACATAACAATGTTATTAAATCAAACATAGGCTATAGATATCATTAAGTTGCTGAATCTACACACAAACTATTTAATATCGAAAAATATCTAAATTGTTAAATAGTTTCTATTTCCATGCATAAATCATTTAAAATACAGTGTCTGAAGATATTCAAATCGTCAAATACTTTCGATTTTTTACGCGCGAACCTTATTAAAATATTTATAAATATCTGAATCACTAAAGTGTCTCAATTTCTACGCTCAAATCTTTTAAGATATATCGAAAAATATGTAAATCATCAAATAGAATAGATTTAGTGTGACTTCATTATTATACTACAAATTCCTGAAAATTAATATATGTGGAAAAAAATTTACGTGAATCTATCAAAAATGGTAATAATTCGAGAATCGCTATAGATATAGTTCGATATCTAAAAGGAGTTGAAGTTTAAAACTTTCTAAAAATTAAAAATTATGCACAGGTAGATAAAAGTATTTTTGTAGCTTAGTTTTCGATGGGACCTAAAATTGCGCATTAAGTTTATACTAGGAAGCTTATTATCCTTTCAATATCATATCATAGTTAAAGTAATCAATATGATAAAAAACGCTACTCAAATCCGTAAATTGATTGAAAACGATGATTGGCTGAGTTTATTTTAATCATGATAAAAAGTAAGCAAAATTAAAGCTTGTTGCTATTTTCTTATCATAAATTCATTAACTCAGGAACTTGTCTGAACGTGGTTACGTTCCGTATTGTAATAACTTCATTACTTTTAATTTATTTGAAATTTGGATTTAAGTTATAGTAGCGAATAATATTGTATTTTATGATTGATTTGACACCATAGATATTATTAGTTAATGAATATATGCATTACTAAAGAAAACTTGATCATAAATTAAAAGATATCAGGAGTTAATATAACTGATACAACTGCAGCACTGATATGTTATCCGAAAGAAAGTGAGCAATGGCTGCAATCATATGTCTTAATCGATGAGAAGGCAACAAATTTATTTTTGGAATATGATTCAGATCTGTCGATATCAGTATATAGTTACTCCCGAGAAAAAATACAATTTTACTTTACTAAATATTCAGAATCCCGAAATCTTTATAAATCAGCAGCGACATAATAATCAGATTTTTCGCGCTACTTCAGCTGTCAATTTCTTAATGGAACCGAGTATACTTCGCTTTTATAAATCATACCTTTTGTATAGACTCAATTAAGGTTGCATAACCTGTCCAATTTGCTTGCATACCGTACTTCTCACAAGTAGTAGGTCTTGATTCCAGTGCATCAAGAAAACTGGTATCATTAGCCACCTCAATAAGAGCTTTACTTAGCGTTAATATTCCATCAAATGCTAGCATAGCATCCAGCTAGCATGATTCCGTTAAAATTATGAATAAAATGATGCATGGATTAGATACTATTGCCAATCGAGTGAAATTAAATTATAATAGCAAGTAAAATATAGAAATCTTAAATTAGGTTAAGCCTTTATTGCGCTATCTTTGAAAGTTATTGAGTCATTTAAAGCTTTATAATTAGTGTAATAGATCACAGCCAAAAGTAAAATTTCAGCGATTATCATAACAGGAAAAATCTTTCAATATCTACAGTTACATTTTAATATAATCCTATCGATTATTTCTATAAATTTTCTGTTTGAAGTGCTACAAAAGCATTAGTGCATCAAATATACTTAAAACCCACCCGAAGGCCAAAAGGAACTCTTGCAGTCGAATTATTAGCTTCATTTGTGGTATTCCATAATTCTAAAATTTGATTTTCAGTGACTTTTCTATCAGGTAAAGCATCAAGATAGCTTACAATAATATTCTTAATGTTTCCAAGACCCAAGCTATGCAGTGCTAATTCTTTTACAATTTTTTTAGTATCCTAAAGGAAAATTGTTATATTAAATTATTAATTTAGCATACAAGTGTAAGCTTGAATTCAAGGTATTAAATCTATACCAAGTTCGTGGTTAAGTAATCGTATTTTGCTGATAGGAGTCCAGTTTTTTTAGCCTTATTGTAATATAAAATCAAATCATTCGATTGTTTACTATCAAAGACGATCAAATCATCAAGCCACAGTTTTACTTACAGCAAGAAGGGTAGCAATTAAGCAATCATCTTGACACGATATAAAAATACTATAATGACGATAAGTTTTAATCTGGTTCATAATATAAACTGCATCTGCTAGCATTTCATCGAAATTAGATCGATATTTTAATCGATGACTAGTAATATGTATTCGATTTAAATTTGCAGTCAGCACCAAATGCTCAATATGATCAAAATCTATAGAAAAAGAACAGGCAATGTTAAGACACTCTAAGCATAAAATTAATGTAAGATTACTAATAATTATAATTAGTTTAGATACATTACATTTTTGTTTGATCAGGGATTATCATTTTCATCAGCTTATATTACAGTTATAGCAATCTTAGTGTCATGAAAATGGAATGAACAGATTTGAAGAAATCTTAATGATCGATTTAGGGTATGAATAAAGTTTCTGAATATCTGGCCAATTCGTGGTATTAAACTCTGTAATTATTATTATATCTGTACCAAAATAAATCTACCTTTTCGAGACGAAAGTTATTCTTACGTGGAATAAATAGATTATCATATGTTCTATAGTTATGAGGCGTAAATGTTCCTAGTTAGCTATTCAGTGAAAATACAAGTCCAATATAGAATCATGATATCGTGATCATGGATTAGCAAAGTTAAAATTAATGCGTACTATTTAAAATCAAATATCGTTCCGCTAAAAAATGCGGTAGGGACTATTATTGTAATCAAATATTGCAATTACTAGTAAAATTTTCTCGTCTATCCTTTGTGGCCATTTGGAATGAGTTAGCACATATCTTGTCATGAGTTAAGCAAGTTTTAAAGGTATCATCGTATATGGTATTTGAATGTTTATTAACTCAATGAGGATAAAATCCAATAAGTATTCTATTAAGGACGATAAAATAATATCTGAAAGCCGTACTGAATACTGCAATATGGTATAGTGCTCAAGGCACACTAATTATCATTTTCCGATATATTTTAAACTAGGCATTCAATAACTTGAAGTAAAATTACATAATTCTGCTATGTACTCGAGCTTTATCGTACTAAATGATAGAACGAAGAAACTTAATTAGACAGATAAAAAGTAGCAACATCGTTTAGGCTATTACAGTACAACATTGATGTCTTAGGTATTAATATCTTACCATCATAAATAATAGATATTTTTTTCCATGACAGAAATTCAATAGCTTGCAAAGCAATTTTATTCAAGTCTGAATGCGATGGATGCATTTTGAATGATTTATCTGAATCCAAATGATGAGACTGATGATCGTCTGATGCTTGAAAATGAGTTACTCCATTTCCCAAGTCGGTACAGTATAGTCCGATAGCTTGGTTTAAGTTAGAATAAAATGGTCCAAATATTGCTACTGCTCCGTTCGTAATTTGCCAGCAGGCTAAGATGAAGTTTGATACAGTATTAATTCACATTATAAATCCTAAAAAATAGACCAGAATAGCTGTGTGTTACCTTGGTTAGTAGCTGAAAGTAAATCGAGGGGTTTGGAATAGTTTTTGATTCCATTTAATACGATATTGTAAGGCTTAAGAATTTTTTCGTTGACATATTTAATACCATAATCAAAAGCAATTTCAACTTGCATTTTATGGATATTATCCGGAAATAATCCACCTAAAATTTAAAAGTTGTTTTAAGAAAAGACATTTTATACTATCATGGAATAAGTACACATCTGTTGATAGATTTACTAAAAATAACGAGGGCGAAATAATATTTTTATCAACAGTATTAAGCAAGAAATTTTAGAACCCACAGGCATAAGCTTATGAGTACAGTCTAAACTAGTATACATAAAAAATGAAGCATTTTCAAAGAAAATCTTACCAACATTAATTTCAATCATATTAACTGACTGTGGTGTTAACAGAAAGAAAAGACTGAAAAGTAGAATAGAGAACCTTATCGGCCTCATCTTTTACTATTTAACTGTTATCACAAGACCTCAGATAGATGGAGTTGTCTTAGAGCAAATTAATTTAAAATGATAAAAGCTTTAAGTTACGAATGTTCACGTAGCTAGATCTCCTTTATTATAATTCCTATATGAAGCCAATTAAGAACAAAGTAGAGTCATCATTTCTCCAGTTTTTATATTAATATTATTAGAACATATGGTAAAAATACTGACAAAATGCAAATTGTGTTTACCTTTTCAAGAATATATTTAACGAGCGAAGGCGTTATTTTAATATTATCAATTATAATTTATTATAATTTATTGTTGCCATCATTCGTCATCATCGTGATCATAAGTTTAATCTATCTACACATATACGGAACGTTCAATATGAAACAATGTTAGCTATATAAATCTCGCACAAAGGATGTTAATGGCCGCTAAAGAAGAGCATGATTGCTCTATTATTATTAGTGATTAAACGGTACCCCAAAGCAATGAGTAGCAGGATTGTGTATAGGATATTTTCCATGGAATAGAATAGCTAGATATCGATACCGACATAAGAATTGAGGGCAACATATAAATCTGGTAACTCTATTGAAATAACGGTATTCGATCTGCTATATTCGTTACATATTGAGTAGGACAGAGTAAGCAACTAAGATAAAATCAGAGATAGAAGAGAGCTTCACATAACTTCGTATGTATTGGCGCAGGATTATTGCATGCATGTTATCTATATCAATGTACCAATAAGTAAATTGATTTAACACTACTGATTTATGATAAGCAAGATTGTATGAATCGCGTTACAAAAGATGGATACTACTGTATGCAGTGCTACTACTAAAGGTATTAGTGTTTTATTTTTCATTTTAAATACCTGTTTTAATACCAGAGCATAAATAATCAATTAATTCGAGTTTTAGATTTTATAATTTTTGTATCTGATTCTACTCCTATAAATAAAATAATGGTAACATTATTTGGCCATTGCTGTATTCGTTTTTCTGAAAACACAGTTTAGCGAAAATAAGGTAAAGATAGTTTCAAATCATGAATGATACTGCATTAAAGATTATACCTAGAATCTTCTTACAGAAGAATAACAGCGATAAATACATGCTGTCAGCATAACCTTGCTGATGACAGTAAAATATATACAGAAAGAGGATTTTAGGGAGAATAAATTACAGCGACAATCACTCTGAATTACATTCAACGTTAAAAATTTATACATTAGTAAATTTATGTCTCCAAAATGGACTTGATAACTTTAGCTTTCTGTCGAAATAAAACATGAAGTAATAATCTTATTAGGTATCTTGCACCATAAAATATGATAAGAATTAGCATTGCTAATCGCTATTTTCTCACTTCGATATCTTGATTGTTGATGATACCATCGATAAACGCTATCTGGTATTGCTTTGCTTTCAATCTCGATAACTGAAATCGTAAAATTGAAATATGTCCTAGTGCTTGCCGGGTTTCCACATTCATAATGTTGCGCATTTTGGAAGGCTTGACAGATGGATCAAAGATTAATAGTGCATTCAACTTTCTATGATGGTCATGTTCTATTCCAATAATTAGTCTACTGTGACCTATAAGTTGTTATTACGAAAGTAATTAAACTGCAATGTATATGTATACAGTAGAAGAGCAATTATAGGAACAAATAGACTGCTTACCATCATGCTGTAAATATAACGGTGGAAATGTTAAAGATGGCATTGCCGAGGACTGATGATGAGTCGTTTTTAATCCCTTAAAATAATCTGATACCCACTGAAACAGTTTTGGATGAGTTCCATCGTCGGAAGCTTTTGAGAAATCTACCAGTTTACACCTTATAATAATAGGAACGTACAATAATCCACTTAATGCTGATATGACAGTTTTGATCTATATTTGAGATTAAATCCAGATTACCAAACATGTTTTGATAAAAATAATGAGGCAATTTCAGTTGCTCCTATCCATTTTTTTGTATTATGAAGACAATTACCCAACTGCGATGCGCCTTCAACATCAAAGCCTAATCACGTACAGAGTAGTCGAATGAATAAGGAAGACTTGACAAGCATTTATGGAATTACTTATAGTTACATAAACACGTTTAATTTTGGATTAATAATGATAACCTTTCTTCCAGGCTCTCTCAATGTATGACTGCAATTCAGTTACGGAAGGGATTTCTAAGTAGTAACAGGGTATACGATATGTAAAGATTAATAAATGCACTTTGACTATAACAGTAATTTAAATAGGATATTAATGGTCTAGTCTTTATCTTATTAAAATATGCGAAATGGGGAGATTGATTAACATAAGTTGCTCACCACTAAAAAGCACTGATTTATATTGAGAACATCCCATTAGGCACGAAAGTAACATTTGAATATTACGATAGCCACAACCCCATCCGAAGTCAGCATAATTTGATGAGAAATGATCAACTGGTAAGCATAAGATTACTTCTTTTTTACCATCGTTGGAATAAAAGTTACGTAAATATTCAATAATGCCTAAAAAAGGCAAAATTTAGACTCTCAATACAATTCTGAAAATAAATATACGAATAGATTAGGTTAAATGAAAAATGAGAATTATAAATAGTCGACATTTCGTTATTCCAAGATTCACTTCAGATGAATCCTTTTTACCTTGCATTTCTAAAATTACAGCGCTAGGTATAAATTAATTAACTCAATCGCTGAAAGATACGTAGCTTTATCTTTGTTAGTACTGTAGCTAGGACTATAATGCTTCGTAAGGAGTTATACTAATCAAAGACTTATACAGAAGATGTTTGAAATGGATAATCATCTTACCACATGTCCGAGTTTTATTATCATCAATGCCACCCTTAGTAGATTCTAACAATCGTGCCTTCTGTTTAAGATATTCTCCAACTTGCATACGATTGCTATCCACCATTTTCTCTAAGAACCGCACACCTTGCTTGTAATATCCTTCGTCAGATTGTTTCCTACTTGAAGACTATTTTGCAAAAGGCAGTTTTAACGCTAATTATATATAGAGAGAGTTATAGGCTATATGCTCTTTCGTTACAAATAGTATCGATGATTTACAGGCCACGAGTGAGAAAGTTTGCCTTTTACAATGAGTGCATAGCTCCTATATCAGCGATAAAGAATATTCAGTACCTGAATATCACTATCTTGTAAAGAATGAGCTAGTAGGTGATCTTCGTATTCTGTTAGAGCGACTACAATATAAATCAAAATTATCATCGAGGCAGAATAACCTCCACACATGATAAAATTTTTGAGCAGCCATGCCTAGTATCGACTACTAAAGACAACAATATCGCCATTTGACGAACTGTTACATTATGTTAAGTTATCATTCGCATCTTATAGCTATACGACTTACATTTATAAATAATGACATTCAGACAACGAGAGAAAAGTGATTTATTTTACGAGTGACTATTGTAAATAGGCATGAGGAAAGATTATAGGCATTATTATTGTCGTAATAAAATGTCAGGGTAGCCATGTCTAGTATCGACTACTACAGACAATTATATCACCATTTGGTGAACTATTACATCATGTTGAGTTCTCATTAACATCTTATGGCTGTATAGCTTACTAATAATGTCATTGAGGTAACGATCATAAGGTGATCAATTAAACAGTAGATCATTTTTATGAATGACTCTTGCAAATCAGCATGAGAAAAGATTATCGGCATTGCTATTATCGCGATAACATTTAGAAGTAGCCAAGCCTAGTATCGACTACTATAGACAATTCTAGAGCTATTTGATAAACTATTAAATCATGCCGAGCTATCATCAGCATCTTATTGCTGAATAACTTACAATTGTAAACAATGAGATTCCAATAACGATGGTACAATATTGCTGTAGTAGATTATTATTTTTATAATTGACTATTGCAAATAGGCAAGAGGAAAGATTAATTATCGGCATCCATTGCTATTTTACGTACCTGCTATGCCACATTCGCTTCTTGGACAAAGAGTGTATTGCTCTGAAATGGGGTATGACAGAAAATAAGTTGGAACCAATTTTAAGCATTAGTTAAAAGTGAATGACTTCTGCTAGAGAATACTATACAATCAATCTACACCTTGAAAAGAATTAATGTGTTTTATCTTTAGGAGTAATTAAGATAGTTTAAACTACCGTCATAATCCATTCTTATTTTTTTGCCATGTCGATTCTTCTCTTCGCTGTCTTGAGCATGGACGGAATCTAGATGTTGATTTAAATCCTCGATTTTAGTGCTTTCCATATTGCAAATGGGGCATAAAAATTTCTCGGACATTTTACTGGCCATAAGTGGATTTATAGCGGTACTGTAGAAGCCTGTCAATGTTTGGCGGCTAAATCATATACTGTACAGCTAATTATAAAGTAGAGTACTATGCTGTGATCTACTTATGGTATAGTAGTACAGTATGATACTTTCAGTATTACATGGGCTGTTATACAGCGCATAGTAAGGTCATGGTCAATTGTCGGCTATATCTTCAGTAATCCTAGATCTCAGCATGGCTTCATTTATAATTCATTATTTCAATCAACCCTGAATAAAATATAAAAAAATTAAAGTATAGGAATACGCAGGAAATCTTCACTTTACACTTGTGGCCATACACGTACTGTAGTCTGATATGGACTAAGGTCACTAATTGGATATTGTGTAGATCTCCTCATACAATCTTATGTGTAATCATGAAATGATTGATACCAGTAATTAATAAATTTATATATGAAAATTAAAGTGTTGCTTTATCGTGGAAATCCTACTTTATACTCATGCCCTTATCCTCCAGATCATAACGAGGATCGCTAATATAGCTAGTAATAATATATTAGTACCGTTTACGTACGTATATTATGTATATATATATATTATTATAATGCATAGGTAACAGTATACTGTAGTCATTATAGTAAATATGGAAAAATTGAAATTTGCCGAGTAAAGCAAATCTTCATTTATATTCATCCCCTTATTCTTGGGATAAGAAGAAAGGCCACAACCGTAACTACCGGTAATTTTTAGTTGCATGGTATACAATAAATGCTCTCGTGCAATTATATAATCATTCAATACGAGTATAAAAATATAAAAAAATTAAAGTATCGTAGGATACAGAAAATCTCCACTTTATACTTGCATACTCACAGAATATAGGAATAATAAAAAATTAAAGAATTGCCTCATATAAGAAATCTCCACTTTATACCTATTCCTTTATTTTTAAGATACTTATAGAGATAGTACAATCATGATTACAGTGATATAACATGAATAAAAATTTAAAGATTTGTAGCATATAAGAAATCTCCACTTTATACTCATGCCTTTATCCTCAAGACAATTGCGGAGATCGCTACCACACCTATCATTAATGTTTGCGCGCACTATACTTACAGTACAGTATATAATTTTATACAAATCTATTCGTATAAAGGCAATACGAACTGATATCACATAATCATAGAATATCCTACGGTAGATAAAATATGAAAAAACCAAAGTATTGCCGCTTACGGAAAAATTTCCATTTCATGCTCACGCCCTTATTTGCAAGATTGAAGCAAAAGTTACTACTGCACCAACCAGAAATACGTACATTTTGTAGACTACAAATCTTTTGGCATATTTGCATAATCATAAAATATGGAAAAAATTAAAGTATTGCAACATACGGAAATCTTTACTTTCTATTCATCCCTTAGTCTCAGAAATAGAAAAGAGGTTATCACTGCACCTAAGTCTACTGTCAACAATAGCTACAGTACTCAGCAAGATAACTGTTCGGTAAATAAAAATAAATCTTGACTCAACACTCATGCCCTTATTTTCGGGATAAAAATCACTACTATGTTTACCGGCAGTGTACAGGTAATTGTATAATATATCTACTCCTATAGTATAAAGGTCTACTATAATAATAAATTACAGTGTTGTATTTAAATAATTTACTGGGAATGTACACGTAATTGTATATATATATCTACTTGTACAGTATACTATAATGTCGCAATATAATAATAAATTACAGTGTTACATTTAAATAATATGTCATTACAACAGCATGTCAATACTTGCCAATGGCGCTATAAATAAAAATTTGGTAATATTCATTCCTAGGAAGGGTGGGATTCCTTTGTTTACTTAAAACAGCATGTTTTGTGTAAAATATATGCTACAGGCCTTAAATCACATTTGCAGTAGCAATCTCAATTTGTCTTGTGCCTTCAAAGTGCTGTTATTGATCGCTAAAAAAATAGGCGTTCTGTATTTAAGTTTATAATCTCACATTGTGATAATATTTCTTGCTTAGACTATAATATGGACAAAATTGATGCAGTGTAAATTTCTTTAATAAACACGAGTAACTTAGTCTCTCCTTATTAAGTGGTAAAAATTTTTTGTCAATATTAATTAGTATTTTCAATTTAAAATTTGAACTATTGTCTCTCAAAAAAAGATATGAAGCTATGATTTATGGCCAATTTTTACAGATAACAGGATATCAATCTGGTAATCAAACATGACTTTGTTTTAAACTATAATATGCCCTTGTAACTAACGATATAAATTGTATATTTATTTGCTGCGCTATCCCTGCAAAATGTTTCTGATTTAGTTTGAAGCTTCTTCTTCGCTTAGGAATCAAACAATATCCATAATTTCTAACCTTTAATAAAATTTTTTATGGTATGTAAAGAATTTCCCTCAAACTTTATTATTGCTTGATACATGTACTTCTAGATTAAACCCGGGGATAGTCTGGGCTTGGGGATATACTTTGGCCTATTACACCGGTACGTTATTATTATCTTATGATATCATAGTTGTAAATAGCCAATTTAAACAATTTAAATATTCTATAGTTGTCATGCATTATCCATGGCTAATTTCTTTAAATAAAAGTTGTAGTGCCTTTTAATGCCGGCAAGTCCAATACTTACCTTGTACGTAATTATACATTTTCCAACTGTTGTAGTCGAATTATAATGGAACTATTCTATTTCTATTATAATACTGATCTATTGCAAATAAGGGTATCTTTGAAGTTCTACTCTTCAACTCTACCATTGAATAGTAAAGTATTGAAATGTATTAATCGCTTTAGTTACACCTCGCCAACATATGGTAGACATTGAAAGGATATTAATAGAATTATCATGTTGCATTAATGAAGAATAGATTGTTATTATTAGGTTATTGTATTGAAATAAAGTGAGTAATACTATTTCTGGTATCTTGCATATGGTAATTGTAGGCTTTAATTGATTTTGCATTTATGAAGGAAAATTTTAATTTGGATGATATTAATATTCTACTAGAAACAAGATAATGCTGTAGCTCTTGCGATTGAATGTGAATTCATCGGTTCAAGATGATATGATTAATTCTCCTTAACAATCTAAAGTTATTTCCTATTAGGCATAAGATAAATTTGATGAGTAGCTAACCTACCATTTCCTATGTACCAATTGAGTATACTTATACTGCTGTTTTTGGTATAATTGGCTAAACACTAAGATTGGTATGTTGTAATGGAAAGGTACCTCGTCGATTCTTTAGGATGAGTCATTTTAAGAAATAGAATCAATACGGATGCTGTGTACTGTATTTTATTCATAGCATTGTATTTTATGGATAAACTTTTCTTTCTATTTAATAAAATGTTTATGAATAGTTTTGGCAGTGGTTCCTATGTATCGATTGATGTTGCCGTTGTACTGGATGAACAATTATCATCTGCAAATAATTTAGCTCTATATAAAATAACTTTCACTCTACACAAAGTATCCTTTCGATATAATCCACAGACTTTTTCTATGCTCATGATAGTTCTATTATACTGTACTATCATTTCTAAACGGGAATAGTAGATTGTGATAGATAGCGTGATAATAATGATTTTAATTTAACTTTAATGAAATGTTTACCATGCTCATACGATTGTCATGTATAGTAGACAAGATACTATTTTTACAATTATTAATCCATTATGAGTCATTGGCCTGTTTCACATGTCATTTGTACGCGTATTTAGCGTAGTCATGTATAGACACAATCCAGTCTATGTTTTGAAGGTCAATTACTGTCATTATTTCTGATCTACTCTTATAAATCGATTTGAAGGAAAAACGACGAAGATGTCCCCTATTCATTATAGTCTATGCTAACCGATCAGGACATTTATATCTGATTATGACCATGCCCTCATCAGTTAATAGTGTATCAGGACTTGACAGGCCTGCTGGATTGGATACCTCATCCATTGACATTAATGTTTTTCAATTCTTTACCGGTATACGTAATCTCTACTATCGGAATTTTATATCTTCCATCTTCTTCAGTCGTTATGATTTCTATCCCACTAGCGAGAGCTAGATAGTAAAATGTCAAAGCTATTTTTCATCATGGACGGATCTGTCGCATTCAATTGTCGATACTTTTCGACGACTCTCTCGGAGCTTGTGCGGTGTGCTCGATATCAACCATGAAAAAGATTATCCATAGCGTAATCTCCACTGCAGTTTTCATGGCAAATTGACAGATAGGAATGCATTGTTGATTCCGGCGATGAATAATTCTTGTGTATAAAAGAACATTTGTATAGCGTTTTCGTCATTAACGCCTAATAAGTTAGACAAATTGTGAAAAAGGACGCGACCATCCCATTTCCTTTGCTGCAAGACCGACATGAGTCACCAGAGTCAATAAAGGGTTGCGCTGGCGTACGTTGCGAGGCAGCCATGACTTTGTACTGTAGCCATAGGGTAGTGACATGGGTTTTGCTTGGATCGGCGACTGTGACAACGCGGGACTGTTGGATGTATAGTAAGAGTATTACAGCAGTGTATACTGGCCTAAAGGAAAAAAATACTTGTATTAGTGTATCATTTCTTCTTCTAGAAGATGATTTATTTGAAAAATCGTTCAAAAAAAGTGAAAATAAAACAAAATAAATCTCTCTCTTGCTGCGTCTAATTCATTACGAATGATGACTTTTGAGCATGATTGTATAGCATTCACGAGCAAAAAGGATGTCACCATCACGTAACCCGGAATACTGCCATGGAGTAGGAATTTCACTCAAAAATAATGTCACTACAATGGATATCAATCATCGTTTCATTGGCGACATTCGTTTTGATTCCGAGCAGGTAGCGTGTCCGCTGTTGTACACCTACACTACAGTACAGTACTCTATTTACCCTCTCCATGAATGACTCCACTACGGTACTTTGATGGTACAGACTGGTGTAGTCTAGACGCTCCTGCGCTCTACTGTACACTGTACAGTACATACAGTCCAGTAGTACTGTACTGTACTGTGGCCCGAGGCCCCAGAGCCACGGCTGCGTACTGTACTGTACAGTACACCCTGGGTGTGGACGATGACACTTGCCTACAGTACTATATACTGTAGTGAGAAGTAGGAGCGTGATGACTACCCCCCCCCCCGTTGGCCACCATCTTCTATTGTTTACCCTGTGGAGAACAATAACATGACAACCACCATGAGTCAACATGTCATCGTCGCCTTGACTCATGCTGATCCATCATGACTACCCTTCCCCTACATTACTATGACAACCAGCGTGGTAAGCTTGCCTTGCATACTAACCCCTCTGCATCCATCCACCATGCTCCCCTCGTGCCATTCCAACCAATCCAATTGGTCTCTTCCATCACGTGATCTTTTTCAAGGCGTTGTTGACCAATAACGGTCTCATCCTAGTTAACGGTCCCTAACGGTTGGATATTATTACGAATTAGACTAATAAAATATTGCTTTTTGCATACTATTCTTGATTTTCCATCATAAGGGAAAAATAAACCATCAGAAAAACATCCAGTCCTCCCCACCCTCCCAAGTATTAGTTGAGGTAGTATGCACTTGATCATGGACTCAAATTGATTCTCATCAATAAAAGCTTAACTATTGATTGAACGATGAATAGTCAAGAGTAGAATCTATAGTCTATACTACCAAATTGAAGACAATCATTAGACAATTGTAACAGAGTTGATCAAGAAGTGCGTACAAGTTGAAAAGGAGAATCAATCTTTTTTTTCCTCCCTTACCTTGGATTGCTGTTGACTATTATAAGATTACAAAGCCATTGGTTCGACGACTTGAAATTGTCATCCATTGGATTATTTCCAACATTATTTCAACCTTGTGTTGATCATCCGTTGTACTATTCTTAATAAGGGCAAAAAAAGAAATTATATCTATATGAATGTAAGTTAAAAAGGAAGATGGAAAATCAATCAGTAAAATGAATTCTGTAGTCGAAAATTTGCAAGCCTATTTCTTTTTCTTCTCTACTCTTGTCAACGTGATCATCTTTGGATAGTCGTAGCCATCTTGGATCATCACATATGAACAACTACATTTAGCCTACTATTGTTCGATAAAGAGACAGTATAATTAAAGCTCAGCTGCAATGTTTTGTCACTAGACTGTATAGAAAGTATATTGTCAGTTTTCTTTCCATTGAACCTTGTAGTAAATACTATCCAACTTATTCCGTCATCATATAATATTACTTAATGCAAGATAAAAATTTCAAGTTATAGCTATGCAATGAAAGCATAACATCATCATCGCTAGTTATAATCTATGTATGCATTACTCTTTCCTTCGTCATCTTGTTATTAGCTAATTGACTTTTCCATTCCTTTCCCGTTACGGTAGCATCTGCTTGAACATCAATATCTTTAAATTCCAATCATGAGCGATAAACGAGCCAAGGCCGAAGAACATCAAAGATTGGCCAAGATTATCGAGCAATGGAATAGCAGTCGACTAGATCTATTCGAAATTTCTCAACCATCACAGGTAAAAAAAATATGTATATACATCCGTGTCGATTCTCGACATCTCCCTTCAGTAGTATTTTACTTATTCATCATCGTTCAACATGAGTAAAACTTTCTTTATTTACTATTTTTGTTAACTTTGTGGCTATGTAGGCTATTTCCATTTCTCTCTTTTTTTTCTTTTCTTACTTTATCAAGTAATAGTGAATAAGTAATCTTTTCTATCGGAAACCGATTCATTTTTCCACATCTTTTACTTCTATTTAATGATAGCTTTTCAATCATTATTACATCTTTACTTTAGTCATGTTATACGAGACAGAGTAAGGACCGTAGGTGGCGTAATGGCTACGACGAACATTAAGAATTAATTTAAATAATTAATATACCAAGACGGCTACATTTTAATCGTTTACACTACTTGCCTATCGATCAAAGTTAGGAGTAACGTAGTTCTCAATGAGAGGATAGAATATGTTCATCGTTTTCCATTTTACTCGACGCACATCAGACATTCAATCATCCACTAGAACAATTTCAAGCTCATATACTACTAGAATGGAGCATTGTCAACATAACATTCTTCGAATGCAAATAGCGGCCGTCGTTGTAACTACTCGTATAGCACTTCGCTCGGGCAATAAGAATGATAATCCTTATAATTGATTACCCTGCAAGAGGAAAAAATAATTGCAATGGATTCAAGATTCGATTTGAAATTTATTTCTTGATATTGACAAACTCATAACCATTAGGGTTACTCAATATTTTAGAAAGAGTACCGGTTTACTATCAAAACTTTTGCATAGAGTGTTTATTCTCTGGTCTCATCCAAATTGATGAAAGGCATGTACCGACTCAACCGTTAAAACTGATGAATGAGTCTTGATAGAATTACGCTAAAAATATGCTACTGTATTTAAAAACGAAAATTGATATTCTTGGCTCAATATCACGTTGAAATTCTAATAATCGACATAGTTTTCATCAATGGTGCCATTATCACTGACGAATATAGTTTTCACTTGTTTGGGCGTTAGAAGATTGTCGGATGTTTTTAGCCGTAACAGCCAAAAGTTGTAATTTATTTAAAGAATAAACGCTAAAGTAGACATTGAAGGTTACCGGATTTACATTTACTGAGGATAAATGTCTTTGCACCGATCACAAGAATGCTATAGAATAAAACTCCTTTATTTAGTTTTACGCATTAACTTCTTTATGTCTAGTTTAGGAGTAATTTCAAAATAATCTTCCATCATCAAAGTAAGATAAATTATAGTCGCGTCTTAACTATGGCAACGTTAGAAAGGGCGTTTTAGTTATCCATTGTAAATGGACTCTTGATCCACGCGCTTTAGCTAACTTCAGCTATGACTACTATTCCAATCGCTACATTTATAATGTTAACACATGTATTCGAAATGAGTAAAACACAGCTATGACTATTCCTAATAGCCGCAAGTTTTCCATAGTCCACGATTGCTTCAACGATGATTCTCCAGTAAATTATGATCCCTTTCAAAGCGGTGAAAATTTAACCTGTTCGAGAGATATCTTGCTTAATGTATGAACAACTTTCCCATGTTGAGCGGTTATTTATTTCGTTATATTGAAATTCACATACAATTTCTATTCGTCCATAAACTTGTCAAAATTAAATCCAATTTTATAGCTAATAGAGGAAAATGTGAATTATTAATAAATCATTTCTGGTACTCTGTACTGTATCTTGATCTCTATTTCCGTACAGTCACAAGTCGGTAATATGACATTCTCAATTCCAGATTATTTGCCCAGGGTGTAATATAGCTTTGGTATTTTTCAATATTTTCAACACCCTTTTCCATTTCAATTCCCCAAACTTTAAAATTATTGAAACAAATATATTCCAAGTAATCTCCTTTAATTTAAACGCTGTCAAGATATGATGGCCTACAAGTTTTTAACAGTTATATTGCGTTTCTATACTTATTGTACCAAAATGACATTTTCATTGATCACTCTTGCAGATCATCGACTAAGCTACACAAAGATTATCTTGCTAATAATCCTCATTTTGTGTGATAGGATAAAACTTTATTTTAATTTTGATACATAGACGATGATAATGACAGTTGGACTTTATGATATACGCGTGCTGGTACTTAGTCGATAGTGATGATTATAATCAATTACTCAAGGAATAAATGGCAACTAGAAATAGCATGCAATTAATGACTTCTAGTCTACTCAGCTCGTGTTCAGTTATTTTCAATTACCATAAAGGAAAATTTGTCGACTTGGCCCCAATCCAATTTACATTCAGAGATATGGTACATGCTATACATTTCTGTGATTTAACATGTAAAAGTTTAGAAAATATTGATTCACAGGTTTGTTTTGTGATGGAAAATGTCACCTTGATAACAATTCAAGAGCATTTTCTGGGTAGATTTATCATTGACTTGTCCGTACTCTTATAGTTTAAACTTTACCGATTATTCAAAGCTTTTATATACTTAACAACTATAAAGTTTTTAGAAATATTAATCCACGAGCTTGTTTTACGACAGAAAATATCACTTTGATAGCAATTTCAAGAGCATTTTCTGGATTAATCGTTGACTTGTCTATACTGCTACAATCGAAACTTTGCCGATGGTTCAAAGTTTTTTATTCTTAGTTTCAATCTTGGTTTGACTATTTACAGATCTGATTGGAATTATGGCTCTATAATGAGTTATGAAAATGTAGTTTAATATCTAGTATTACAGATTGAGAAGGATTCAGATTTGATTCAAAATGTAGCTATTTAATAAAGTTAAATAGTTAATCTCTAGTATGATCTAATAACGTACATGCGAGTATAGCCGGCTAGTAGGTCCCTCTTTCTTATGCGTGCCTTCCTTCATCGTTACTTAATCTTCTTTCGGCAGTTATTAAATTATCGGTGGAAGTAGATTGTATTTCTATTGCAAGTTACCTTCCTTCATCGATTTAACTACCAATTTTAGACTCATTTAAGTGAAAAATTAGTGTCTGATTACTACACATGTTCGAGAATAATACGGAACGTCATTATATGATGCATATCCAACTATTCGAGTCCATTTTCTTTTTGTTTGGCTTCGTTCAGAGGTGTTTTATCTCTTTCTTGCCTGTTGTTATCGATGGAAATAGACCGTAATTGCATAAAAGCAATTTTTCGTCGATCTATCCTATTACTTTTGGACTCATTTTAATCGAGAGCATGTTTTAACCGGTAGATCGCAATAGATATTTAATAATAATATAGACCGTCATTGCATACGTATGCGTATCCGATTACGTGAGCTAAATTTCTTGCCCTTTGATTTCCTTCGGAGATGTTTAATTTCTTTTCCTCAGTTTTATTGATAGAAATAGACTGTAATCATATGACATCTGTTTTTCATTAGCAATCTATCCTATTGCTGAAGACTTGTTCAAATCGACAGCAAGTTTTAAGCAGTAATGATCGCTGCGCGTAGTCATAGCGGACTATAGCGTATCCATTTCGCTGTTCTTTAGCTTCATAAAGGCTTTAACTCATTTTACTTCGTAATCATCGATGGTAAAAACTATCTTTGTCGATTTATTAACTATTTTTAGATATATTCAATGACAGAGCTAACTTTAACTGGTACAAGTTTACTTTTCCTTCACTGTAAATGATTTATATCTAGTATAACAGTACATATTATCTCAAAATCTATAGAAACCTGATTTAAAAGCTACAAATCATTGATAAGTGTGCTATATTACTATATATTACATCCTTTCTAGTATATCTTACCAGAATAGAATCTTGAATAGCAAAAGCTAAACACTAAATTTCGTACGTTAACTTCTAAAATTTACAGTAGTGCTTTCCAATTTGCTCTTAAAATATGAAATATAATGAATGCTTACAGTAATGATTCCTTTAATAGCCAATTTTAAAAGCAACTATTTCATTCCAATTCACAATGAGATATTATTTAAATACGTATCCATCCAATTTAAGCGAAGGCAGATTACTGAAAGAATGTATTTTATCACGTCCATTACTTTCTATAGCCTAAACTAGTAACCATTTGGATTCTTACTCGACATAGTAATTGGGATGGCTAAAAATAATTCTATTCATTCGAAATCACGTAAATTTTTTCTTCATTTTAAGGAAAGGTGACCCTTAGCAATGGATGTTAGTAGATGGAATATAATTATTGATGCATCTGCAACGTTAATATAACAGTAACTTAAAATTTTAATTGATAAATATTTTAAAATGATTATAGTCAACATTTAGCACCCACATCGTAAGTGTTGGTTGGTTAGTGAACACACTTTTGCTCCACGATAGTTGACACATCGTATCCTATTGATAGAGCTTGTCTTACTTTAAATGTCTCTGTTAAACTGTTCTTTATAGTTATATTTGTTTGTCGTTAGACGTTAACGATACATTATTAAAAATAGATGTCTACTTCTACTGTACTATAGAATATTTTACAAAGGAATTTCCTGCGGTATTAATTATTCATAGTTATAATTAATTTAATAATGATGGAATTAGTGTTGATCCTTTTTACCGCCTCTCGATGCGATAAGATATATTGACTAGGAGCCATTTAATTTTTTATTGCTAATTACTGAAGCACTTTATATCATAAGCTAAGCTCAAGTCAAATGCAATCTTGGTTCCATATTTATATGTCGTAAACAAATATCGTTGTAAGGATAAAAATTTCTATTGCAAGACACAAGTATCTAAAATATAAACATAGCTGAAACTTTAGATTTTTCTTAACTAGATTCACATTGCTTTAATTTTGGCGGTAAATTTTGTTCCCCAAATTGCAATCAATTCTTAAGAGTGATTAATTGCATTATATTGAAGTAGAATTAAGCTTAAAATATCATTCCTATAAAGTAATATGTAAAATATGTGATATATGTTGAATATAAGTCTGATGATCTTTAATTGCAATGAGTGGTGTTTTAACTTTGATTGCAGGAAATACTGTTATTACCACAACTGTGCGGATATCTTCGTTGTCATACGTTTTAACACAAAAAGTTTTCAATTTTTTTCTATTTTAGATTGATACTAAAGATTTTTTAATCAATCTAAAGATAGAAGATGTTATATAACTTAGTTTATGCCGTAAACTGACGCTATTGCTATAAAAGTAACCCAACATAGTTAAAGTAGTTATTGACAGGAATTTTAAATTATACATTTGATCGCTTTTCGAATAGTAATTCTTTAATTTTTATTTGATGGAAGTTGATTCTAGTTACGAGTAGAATTAAGCTTTTAAATCTATTACTTCGCATCTATCATTAATTTCACGTAATTGAGACTTAATTTCGTATCGCATAGGTTTTTCTGTTTAAATTTTATAATTGCAATTTAATTTGTAGGTATTCAATTCTCTCATTTTTTTTCTAGTAGTTCTAGATTTTGTATAGCTTCATATCAATTTTTGACTATACTATAGAGCCTTAAAGTAAAAATATAACCCCTGACCTTTAACTATAAGAGAATAGAAAAATAGATTTAAAACCTATTTAATAATATAAAAATGTTAATGGAATCCTTAATGCAATTTTAAAATTATTTAGGATTTAGAATTCCATGGCGTAATGCGATTTTTCTTTCAAGAAGTTGGTTCTAAAGTTGCCACTAAATGTATTCGAGTTTCTAGCAAAGATCAATGCGCTGATATTAAAGAAACTTTAATTGAAAAATTTCGACCCGATATGCGAATGCTATCGGTCGGAAGTAATTATTCATTATATGAGGTGCATCCAAACGGAGGTAAGCTAATGTTGCAATCTTATGTGCGTAAATATTGCAACTGAAGTATAAAATTTATTCCACCCTTAGCTAGTATAACTTTAGGCTGTTGTAGAAGATAATATATTGTACAGTAAACTTCAATTTTTGCTATCGTAAACCATCCAAAGATGAATCGATTACGTTAATTACGCTATCTTCAACTCAGTCCTTTCCACGGCTGTTTCAGTCTTCAGGCTACTATAAATTGCTAATCGTTACATCATATTACGTTATATCCTCAGTTCCCGTTTATTTGACTTTTCTATCTCATTAAATACATATCAATTAGGAGTATTTAGTTCATTTTATGTTTCCAGCATGATGACCTTCAAACGGAAAATATAAATAAATAAATCTTTGGCATTATCTACGCCGAAGATCTAATTTTCCTCTCAGTATTTATCCACTATCAGTTTATCATTCCTAGTAAATTAATTTACATGATTGTAAAGAAACTACGTAAAAGATCTTGAAAAGATCAACTATATTCATATTCAATATGAATATAGTGATATTCTAATTATATTCTTCCAAAAATTTAAATTGTCAGTTAGACAATTATCTTTAGCATTTCTTAGCGCATTTTGTTGGATCCCTTATATTAAATTTTGAGTTAGTGATATGAATACGCATACTATAACAGCTAATCTTGTATGAGTGCGAGTAAAAGTTTTTCTTTGTGTTTACGATCGAAATCTAAATTTAACTTTTAATAGCTAATATTAGAAATGATCGATATCGTTATAATGAAGCTGAGTGATGATTTTCGTTAACATTCTTTTCAAAAGAAGAGCGAAAATTAGCCGACCACGAGCATCCGTTGGTAGTACAATTAAATTGGAATTATGACGATAGAGAAGGAAGATTTTTATTAAAAAATAATTATGAGCCTGATGAAGGCTCAAACGATGCTAATTCAGGTAAACGTAATAAAACTAAGAACAAAAAATCGAAAGGCAAGGATAAAACGAAAGCTATGAATCATAAAGCTAAGTCATCACCAGCCCTACAAAATGCTCAACAGGGCCCACCAGGCAATGGTCATATTAAAGTCCCGCAACAGAATGGTGTTCATGGTAATGGCCGAGTTGCTGGTCATAACGATAAAAATGGCGTAGCAAAAGAACTCTATCGTGAAGTACCTGAAACGAGTTTCACACGAAGCATATCCAACCCAGAAGCAGTTATGAGACGACGTCGACAACAAAAAATCGAATCGAAATTAGATGGCGGAGTAGATGGTCGTCCACCACGAACAGGAACACTTAAAATTTACGCTAATACTTTATTTCCTGAAGTTCCTTATAAAACTTTATTATTTAATATGAGTCATACTACGGAAGATGTTCTATTGGAAACATTAGAAAAATATGGACTTGAGAAAGAGGATCCTCTTGAATATTGTATTGTTTTGGTGAGCATCGTTATTCTCAATGCTTCTATACTAGATTACAGTTGCCAAGTTTTATTAAATTAGCATATATTATGGTAAAGTAAAATTCGAGGGTAGTAACAGCATAATGCGGTTACTTAATAATTTTACCGAAATATTATCATGATACCTACAGTATATTATACGGCGATGTATATAACTAGCCATAACTTATGTTACTCATAATCCAATTTCTTCATATAGCATCGCATACTTTACATTATATATATTTGCATTTGAATATATTCGCCTTATAGATATTACTATATATTATTCCTTATCATGCTATGCATACATCTGATTTGTTAATCGCAGCAATCAAGCTCTGTAGGTGAATAATAGATAGTGTAGTAAGAAATTGAATTATTAAGTTACTAATTTAGTACTGTACATGAACTATTAAATTCAGAAATGATGGTTGGGACGTAAATTAAAGTTATACTTGCTGTCAATTAGTGATTATTTTCGACGGATCAAGAGTATTAAATATGTCTTAGATCACCGTAGCTCTATAATCTTTTTGTTGGTAATCAATATCAACTATTGTAAACTTTAAATCATCTTTCAGCACGTCAATTATTCATGATTAATTTATATGAATGTACAGTAACGTCAAAATGGCGGTTGTCGATATCGTCATTGATATTAAATCTATACTACCTTTTCAGCTATAGTTTTAAGCAATATCTATATAAATAATTAGAGTATTTACAATCCATTTAAGAATTATATAATTGATATAACATACTACTTGCTCTGTAACCGCAGTATTAAATACTTATATAAAGTAGAACACATTTTTCGCATGGGCTAGTGCCGGATATGTATTATATTACTAGTACAGTATATGCGCATATTGTATTTTTCATAATTACTGTATAATCCTGTAAAAGTAGTTATAGTACACTAAAATATGAGATTCTGTATTATGATAAGAATTTATTCTGATTAAGATTTTTATGTAAAGAACGGGAATGTTTTTTTCGGCTAGTTTGTAAATAAAGTATTATATTACTGGCAGTATAGATGCAAGACTTTAACTATCTTGCTTTCAATTTTTTAGGTTATTTTGTCACCCGATCTACTTGGAACATCTGATAGTGATACTAGTGGTGGCGAATCGTTAGGTGGTAAGAAACAACGTATTCTAGACGATCATGAATGTCCACTAGCTGTCGCTTCGAGATATCCAGAAGAATCAATTATGTTCCAGCTACGGCAACGACGTGATGTAAAACATCTTGTTAAAGAAGATGATAGTAATTACGAATCCGATAATGCTGGCCAAGATGATGACTCCGACGATGATGATTTGCCTTATTTACTTGAAATTCCACCACATGGGACAGACGTCAATTATAAACCAAGAATTATTATCCTGCGTTCTACTACAACAGAATTTGGCTCAGGCCAACGACCACCTAATTGCAGCGGCGACTATAATCGGATATTGGGCCCCGATGTCGCAACAAGACATTGCATAATGGCTAGCATTGAAGGCTACATTACAGTCACACCAGCTTCTGAAGGTGCGGCTGAAACATACATTGATGGCCAACAAATTTATTCCACTACATCATTACAACATGGTAATCGCCTACGCATTGGAAGTCTCTTGACATTTAAATATTGCGATCCTTTATGCGGTAAAATAAAAGAACTAGAAGAACTTGATCGTCAAAAGGTACCTTTTTATAAATTAGTTCATATAGAAAGTAAAAAATTTTCCGCTTATTTCAATACAACATATACTGCAGTGGTAATAATATTATTAATTGCCAATTTGATAAGTTAATTGCATATTAAAATGTAATAACAGACTACTGCCCAATAGCTTAGTGTCACTTTTCTATTACGTAGCTTCCTAGAATAATTTCTTCCTATGATTTTAAAAATTTACTTTTTTCGATATACTTGGCATCTGTTAGCCAATTCTTGAATACATAGTACAGTAAAATTCAATCATCGTCTGCAATTATATATATAAGTGAAGATAATCTCTATATATGGTATATCTAACGTTGCCATATTTATATTACAAGTGCCATATTGTAAAATTAATGATGTCCAATATAATTTCTTAGATTTTATTCGTATTGAATAACGTTTGTTATTATCTGCTAATTAATTTGGGTGTTGCCCTGAATTTTCTTTAGAAACGATCAATATTACCGTTTGAATATGAACTAGACGATCAACAAGATTATGAATTGCCAGCAACTATTGCTTATTTGGAGTCCGCTGAAGATACTTTCTTTTCATCTATTACTTCCAAAGTTAATGAAATTAATGTTGGGTTTAAGTTATCACCATCTTATATATTATACATTTCCGCTCGTTATTTAATCAATCCACAATATAAACCAGACTTATCGATACAACAACGAGAACAACTCATCGGTAGCAAACTGAAAAAAGTGGCCGGAATGATTTGGAACACTGTCAAGGTAATAATTACAATTTATGATCGATCATAACTGTACTTTTATAATCATTTTATCTATATACATTTTATAATTGTGAGTATAAGTTTTATATAGCTATCAACTTTATATTTTATCGTATGATAGTTTAGCAAGTTGCTATAAATTGATCTTCTTTTTAAATGAAGACCACCATTCTGATATTTAAATTTTATATTGTAAGAATGGACTAAAGTGGATAAACAACACCGATTTAAAGGTACTAAACAATTTCAATATTTGCATTCAACAGGAAAACCCAAATAATGGATCATTAATGGCTTTGTGGATGGCTAATGCATCAGAATTATTACACTTTCTTAAAATGGATGTACACTTATGTAATGCTACTTACGATGTTCAGACTGTTTTAAAACAAGCCGTTGATAGTACTTTCCGATGTTTAACTCAATGTGTTGAGCAAGAGCTAAATTACGTTATGCCAGCTTTTCTAGATGAATCACAAGATGTTGATATTACTAATGGTAAATAAATATTAGTATTTTTGATAGATTTAAGCTCATTTTGTAATGCTATATTTACAATGTTAAGCTTAATTTTTTATTTATTCTACTTATAGATGATCTACGTTATTTACTGTCAATTGAATCACACGATGAACAAGTATACGTTTCGGCAAAATCGGCAACTAGGTGGATGGATCCTAAAGTTGTAACGAACCTTCAGCAAGGATATAAACCCACTATGTCTGATATACTTCGGACGTTGTCAGCAGCGATACGACTGCTACGAAACTGTGGTGTTAATGCAGCTTTAACCGTCCAGCTATTTTCTCATGTAATCTATTCTTAATTCTATCTTAATTTCTAATGAATCATTTCTGCTGTAAAATATATTTATGGAAACAATGTGATATTCATCGATGCTATATTCTGTTTCTGTCAATCCTATTTAGGTCTTTCATTATGTCAATCGCCTGCTATTCAACAAATTAGTTTTAGAGCCAAAATCAAGGTTATGTAAAAAAATTTGGGCTAAACGAATTATTAATCGTCTTGGTTACATTGAATCTTGGGCACATAAAGAAGGCCTAGAATTAGCCGCTGAAAGTCACTTAGCGCGAATCTACCAAGCATTATTTTTCTTAAAATCACCTAAAGGAATCGTTGACTTAGAAGTAACCGTATCAAGGTGTGCCTTATTAAACTCTAAACAACTTCGTGTTATTATGGACAATTATCAACAATGTAATGAAAGTAGAGAGGATAAAATATCGCGACAAGCAGCCGATAAGATGATTGCTCTAGCAACTAATACTGTAGATGCAAGATTACTAGCGGAAGGTTTCGAAGTGAAAGTGGAAGAAGATGGTAATTTACAGATTCCATTCATATTACCTGAGGATGGTTATACATGTGAAATGATTAAAGGGATACCGCCTGGCTTGGAAGATTTCCTATCTGAATTTAGTAAATCTGGTAATTACAACTTATATTATAATAAAATATTACGAAAATTTTATACGGTTTTCTTTGCTCCTAATTTTGCATTATAGAATTTAAAAGTAATATCGCTATTAATTATCACTAATAAATTAATATACGCACTTGCAAAGCTATATTATAGTAATAACAATAATCTAGACTATTAAAGTAGTTTTAATACTATCGAATACGATAATTAATTATCATTAATTAAAGTATCATATCAATTCTTAGTTAATAGCGATATTGAAGCTTCAATGTTAGTACGAAAGATTGTAAATTAAGCTAAGATCTTGCATTTAGACGAGTTAAAGAAGTGTAGAATAAACTTTTTGCTACATTTATTGCATGAAATATGACTAAATAATCTAAATAGCCCATGTATATTATAGAAATCAAGATATGATTATCGTTGTATATTACGCTTTAATCACTAGTATTACTACTTCAATAACCATTTCTATACTATTAATAATGATTGCGATCATACTGATTTATTATCTATTTATAGCGATAATAATGTGAGTTATCGATTTATTGTTGCTAATTTATTTAAGATATTTGCCGACTTACAAGTCAGAGTCGAGCTAGTGGATCATGGACTGTTTGGCTACGGGGATTTGTTGATATCGAATATACTGAAAGTAAATATAGTACTTAGCTCAACGAATTTACTGATTTTAGCAATATTGATCGATTTCATTTTATTAATATGTCTTATTTTTACAATAGGATTTTATAAGTTAGATAATGTCTCACCTGGATATTTACCAGAAAGCGATTCAGAGGTTGATTTTTGCATTCGTGATAGTATACTAAATTTTTTATAAATATTAATGCCTATTAAAATGTGTGTGTTTTCAATCGCAATAATGAAGGAATTATTTTATAATTCAGGATGCCGAAATTGAGTACATTACCTTTTACAAAGGCGGCGCTAGTCTTGGTCTTAGTATAGTCGCCGCTAGGGTATGTATAATTGAATAATTAATCCTACTCATATAATTTTATACAATTCTAACACTACAATGATAACTATTAGGGCACTAATCAACAAGAGTGTGGAATCTACATTAAATCTGTTGTTAAAGGTGGCATTGCTGATAAGGTTTGTAATAAGAAAATTTATATTGAATTTGATCTCATGTTTTTATTCAGTAAAAATGATATTTGGCGTAAATAAATTAATCTGAATAGGATGGTCGCTTACAAGCTGGTGATCAAATTTTAACAGTTGATGGACGTAGTTTAATTGGAATATCTCAAGAACAGTACGTTCTATGTTGAAATTTTATAAATAAGCATAATGCTATTGTCTCGCTGGTTTAGTAAACTATGAAGAAATATTTTGTATTGATCTTTCGTGTACTTCTCCTATATAATTTATAAATCAGGGCTGCTGAAGTTATGCAAAGAACTGGTAATGAGGTTGCATTGGAAATTGCTAAAAAGGCCGCGTTATATCATGGATTGGGGACACTTCTATTATCCAATGGTAAAGTGATCAGTATTTTTAAATATTTGTATCAATTATATCTAATATTTTAAAATTAAGGCCTATCCATTCTTTATAAGACTGTGGCTAAATTGAAATGTTAAATTAATCTAAGATTATTGTTATAACTACTCCACAGGATCACCAACGAGTCCTGATTCTCTATCGCCTGATATTCTACCTACAACAATCACTGATCAACGTGATCCTCGAAGTGTAAATCAAGGAAGCGCTCCTCGATTATACGATTTTGATATGGATAAGTAAGGATTAATTAAGGTTAAAGGACTATCTTTAACGCAAAATATTAATAAGATGGCATTTTAATTTAGGAATGATGACGATCTACGTTTCGAAGAATTACCCAGAGGGAGTCGCGTTAACTTGAATGGTCATTCACAATCTCGTGATAATGAACCAAAACAAAAACGAAGTGTACGCTTTAAAGATCAACTAGAAGAGCATGCTATATTTGGAGAAGATAAGCCTAAGAGGCCTAATGATATGGAAGAGTACTCATTCGATGACCTAGAAGAAGAAAAGCATCAACCAAACAGACAATATCATGCTAATTCCAAGGGAACCAAACGCGTTCAGTTTAAAGTGGATGAAGATGTCTCAGATGGAGGTGAAGAAGAACCTAACCCACCAAGGTATTGGTCTAACACAGCATCAAAGAGTTCACATGTGCAGCCACCTCAATCATATCCGGTTCCAGCACGCAATAATAATATTAGCCCTGAAGCTTCTCCATTACCGCCACCAATGCCTCCACAGCCAATACTTAGTCCAGATAGTTTATCACCGCCTCCTCCCTTACCTCAGTCTGTGATCAAATCATCCAATTTTCCCCCGCCATCAGTATCAGATCGTGTTAGTAATCAAAATCCAGCAGGTGATCCTAAGATACATCAGAATGTTCCGCCACGACACGCATCGGCCACTCGCGGACCTCATCCAATTAATTCAGCTGGAAATCCAATTGCAAATCCAAATGGAAGGAAGCCTAAACCAAATCTCTCATTGCCAGTTAGTCAGCCTATAGGGATACCGGTAGTCAACGGCAGACGATCTCCACAATCTCCGCCTAGCCCAACTGTAAGTCAGAGATCATCGTCTTTACCGAATCAACGAGGAATGAATTTTAGACCTCCTGCTAGTCCTACGCCTAGTCAAAGAAAGCAATCATG